TGTGTGTGTGTGTGTGTGTGTGTGTGTGTGTGTCACCATCACCTCCTCTAGGGCAGGGCAGGCCCCCCTAGTGTGAGCACCAGTGAGCCCTTACATGGGCACTGAACACGGGCCCTTTGCAGTCAGAAGGTCAAAAGCTCACACCACACTGCTGTCGGAGCAGAGTGGTCAATGGCCAGGACCTGTTAAGGAGTTAAGGTGCTTTCAGAGAAGGGTATTTCACTGTATGCATGTATTTGGGTGGTCATTAATATAAATTAAAATTAGACAACTCTGCATAACTGAAACATTACCCAGCACTTAATTTGAATGGGAACCTTTAAAAATTATTATTTTATTTTATTTTTTTTTGGGGGGGGGAGGGGATAATCGACACATAATAATGCACCCATCTCTAAACACATTTTTTATATTTTCTACTGGAACTGAATCCTTTAGTTCTCCTTACCTGAACTGCTGGCCTCCAAAAACTTCATAGGTCATCACTCTTCCTTAATGTTTTTATAGATATGTTTTGTTAATATATATGTGTGTGTGTGTGTGTGTGTGTGTGTGTGTGTGTGTGTGTGTGTGTGTGTGTGTGTTTGTAGCGGTGGGGGTGGGTCACTTTAAACATCTCACAGCTGAAAATTACACGTGTAATCTCTCCCAGAGGAGTTCTATAGAGAAATAGAAAAACAGTCCGTGAAGTGCACAAAAATAGTGGTAAATCACTCTCTGCCACCTTATCGGGGCCGCCTTGCCATGTGTTCAAAAGCGTTTTATAACTTCACTTAACATGAACCTTGGAAGTGTAAGAGGCTCGAGAGTGACGCGAATTTGAGGCTTTCAAAGGTGAGCAAATATGCGCTCACGAAAAAATGAAGTCGTTTCACAAGCAGTTAGTCCCACACACGGCCCATGTGAACCTAGTCGACTTCGGACTCCAGTCCGCGCAGATTCTGCAAGAGGCTAAAGCTGAAATATTATGTCCCTAATTAGCCTTCTCATAGAGGAAATCATGAGGATTAAATAGCCGTGAGCTTTTTTTGAACATCCCAAGAAAACGTTTTTTACACCTAAGGAAAAAAGAAAAACCGAATGCCCATTATGTTGTGACATGTTATATAAGCATCACAACATAAAATAAATAAATAAAAACGTATTTTCTTCCTTTTAAGTATTATAGCAGCAAAATGAGGTTGCCACTGTGAACTATTATAGGGTAAAGGGAGTTTGAAGAGGAAACGTGAGAATCCGGTGAAATAAGTGTTTTGCAGCCGTCTGCGAGTCACAGATAAGACCGCGTTTTCTTAAAAAAAAAACCAAACCAAAACAAAAAAAAGTAAATAAAAAATAAAATAAAAACATCCTTTTATTTCAGCATTCTTTTAGACATTTGTATCTGGCAAAATTTGTGTTGCTAATCATACCCACTGCCACTAATCTGTGCAGGTCAAGTAAAGCGGGTGTCTATTTACACATTTGAGCTAAATTTGACCCCAGCTTTTATGTGTTGTATCAGTATGCTGTTTATAAGATGTACCGTTTGCTCAGTTGAGTAATCCTTCAGCGATATTGGGAATGTGTGTATCAACAGGTTTTGATTTCACCTTGTAGTCTGACATACAGTAGCATGTGATAGGCCTTCGTAGAACGGTCCAGTGGCAAGTGTGTAATCTGTTTGGGCCTCAGTGTCTTTGCCCCTGCAGCAAATCTCTTGCCAAACCGAGCAGCAGTTTCCAGCAGGTCCGTTCCAAATAGTGTCAAATTAAAGAAGGGTAAACTGATCTACACCAGATTATCCCAGAAACCGCATTCGATATACACGAAATTAAATGAAATTAAAGTTTTAAAAATACTTTACGTTAGTCTGTGCTGTAAAATTTCCCTACAGATTTTTTTCTTTTAAAACTTTTATTTTATTTCGTTTTTTAACCTCCCTAAATATTCGACAAAAACTGGATATTTGGTAAACTGCTAAATTACGTGGATGTCCCTATGATAAACGTGCGCTCTTGGCTTCCCAGATAAGTACAGCAATGAAAAGCATGATACAAGGCCATAGATGCCAGACTCTCACTTCATTGCACCCCGCCGTTCCCAAAAGTGTCGAAAACAAACAAGAAACCACCGTTTACTCTTGTTATTCATTAGACTTATAATAGCACTATTTTCAGTCACCAGTGAAAGTCTCCCTTATGACACTCAAGCACACACATAATATGCATAAATAAAACATAATGAGCGGCACATTTCAGGGTTACGTTTTTTTTATGACAAAGGATATAAAATGTCAGTTTCCCCCAGTCTATATGTAAATATATATATTCACTGTCGGTAATACAAAATTCTAATTACGCAATAATTCGATTTTAGACGCTTGGGTAAATAATGAATTCACTTCTTCTCGTCTAAACAGGAAAATTTAAGAGTTCGTTCAGTACATTTTAATTATGGGTCAGTTGCTACCCTTAAAATAGATGTAAAGCCGCGGGCCTTTATTTTCGGTTTGGGCGGGAAAAAATACTTTAATTGATATGATGACGGTATGCGAAGACCGAAGTTTTTTTTTCTCCCCTCAAAGCTGCTTTTAAACGCTCAACAACAACAAAGTCGGTGTGACTGCAAAGACCTTATCCAGCTCTTTCTCCCGTGTTTCTTCTCCTGTCGGATTATTTTCCCCATTTTCACACGTGGGAATGGTTTCACCCCTGCTTAGTATTCTCACATTGTAGCAATTCCAACAATGAACCGACACGCCATTCAAGTAGAGGGGTAAGCCAGGCAAAGTTGCAGAGCCTATCCTTCTAGGCTGCCATGCCTCTGATGAATGGCTGTAAATTCTGTGCTCTTCCTTCACCAGTCATAATTGATTGCATATATATACACGTGTATAGCGTCATCACAGACGTTGGTTACA